GGGCCTCGGGAAGGATGGATCCCTGCACTTCTTACAATGTTCAGGTTGTTCTTGGTATAGGTGCCATTTTTTCCATGCCCCGATCCTGTCCCTCCCCTCTCTGTCGGGAAACACGGCCTGATCCCGGTCTTTCCTGATGTGCTGACAGGGATGCACCCACCGCGGTTTATCATTCCATCTTTATCGGCAGGCTATGTAAGGTAACATGGCGGTATCACAACTCTGCCGGCTTTAACGTATCTGCAAAGCCTGTGGTGTGGTTTTGGTAGAGACAGATGGAATTATGGGTAAAAATCAGGGACCTCAAACATTCAAGTCCTACTGCACCGTTGTACCTTAGGGCAAAGTGAGTGATGCTGAACTGTTACAGTAACATCCCTCAGTAAAAACATCCAGTTCAGTAGATAACCAGGTTCAGTTACGTAAAGTGTCGGTTTAAGCTACAAGCTTTTCTCTGTCCCATCGTATTGGTTCTCTGTTTCAAATCATCATATTCTTCTTTTCTTATTCCTGAAATATCCCAGTAATCCCTTTCCTCTCTGAAGCTGAAGCTGAAGATTCTTAGCTTTTGTCATGAAATGCTTACAAGGTGAAAGTGTGACAACATCAAACGGGTTTTTCCGGTGACGTCCCAAGCCTCTGCCTTCCAGACGCCTCTGAATGGATGAATCCAAAGCCCTGCCATCTCAAATCCAGGGTTTCTCTGACTATCGATGCTCTCATTCTGGCAGAAATATGAACTGACTCACAAAAGCTGGGTTTTCAGCACGGGTTCAGTTTTCGCTCTTAACCAGATTCCAGCTCGCTTGTCTGTTGACAAGGGTCCATCTCCACTGAAGCGTGCCTCACGACACAGACTGACATACGGGAGATAATCTAGCGAGGATGAGAGCAGCGTGAGTGCTTCCCAAGGCATCCTGGGTGGGGGGGTCCCATCACCACCACGCTGAGCTTCAAAGTGCTTTCGAAGCATTTTTAGCTCAGCTAATTGCGACTGCGAAAGTCGGCGCGAGGCGTCATACGATCGGCTGTGAGCTGAGCGTCAGGGAGCACGAGGACCTTTAGCCACGAAAGGGGCAGGAAATGCTCTTTCAATTGCGCAAGAGCCCCCGGAAATATCAAATGTTTAATTTAGGAAATCGGGAATATGGCTCGATCTTGGAAACACCTGCAGAAATTCAGTTAGGGTGGAGGAATAATTGGGGTTTGGCTTTTAGCGGAAAGAGTGAACGGCAATAAAGGCCCAGTAATGGTGAGGAGGGAATTAACAGCAGATGATGGAACGGATTAAAATTCATTAAGAGACACGTACTTTGGAGCCCCTGGGAAATGCCAGAAATGTGGATAAATGGATCCAAGTCTGACTCCTTCGTCCAGCCAAGTGGGCTTTTATTGTCATACCATCCAGATACAGCTATACAGCGGCTCGAGATAACATTCTTCCAAGAGCACGGGGAAACATACAGAGAGCAAGCCAATGATGACAACAGCAATAATAGTAATAATAATAATAATAATAATAATAATCAAAATAAGGATAATAATAATAATCACCATTAAGTGGGCTTTATTGTCATACCATCCAGATACAGCTATACAGCGGCTCGAGATAACATTCTTCCAAGAGCACGGGGAAACATACAGAGAGCAAGCCAATGATGACAACAGCAATAATAGTAATAATAATAATAATAATAATAATCAAAATAAGGATAATAATAATAATCACCATTAAGTGGGCTTTATTGTCATACCATACATATATAGGTGTACAGTGGCACATAATAACATTCCCCCAGGATAAATATAGTCACACAAACAAACAACCAGACAGATAAATATACGGTTAAACTGACGGGGGCACATATCCAAGATGTTTCAGCTAGTTAAAGTCATCTGACCATTGAGAGGTATGATCACATGGTGAATTCAGCTCATGCCTCACTAACCATCAGGTCTGGCTGTAAACATCCGTGGGTGCAGCTGTGTCACAGCAGCTTTCCTGTGACAGTCAACAGAAGGCAAATCCGGGTCACCGTCCGCCATGAGCCTCGTTGACGCCGTTGCCCTTCGCCACTCCTGTACAGGACCATTTCCTCACACGCACTGCGGGCCTCTGATCCCACTCAGCCTGATGGGATTTCAGCTGTTGGATGAATCATAAACTGAGGCGTGAAATCACATCAGTAAAATTATCGGCAAAAATTATCACAATTTTTAATGCTAAAAAATACTGCCTGACCTCACGCCAAGGCTGATGACGGCCTTCTTACGGGTTTTTTTCTGTAACGTTTTTTACTTACTTAGCAGATGCCTTTATCCAAAGTTTTTGGAAATGCAGGGTCAGTTCCCTGGTGAAATTGAGGGCCCAACAGTGAAATCACTCTGCTCACCTTGGGATTTGATCCGGCACCTCTTTGATCATAGCATCCTAACCCACTGAGCTGCACATTGCCCCCTATAGGTCTGTGTTTGGAATTAAGGACAGTAAAATATATTTAAGGATTACATAGGAGCGTGATGAGTCTAACAGATTAAGAGCAAGGCTTTGTTTGACACACTTATCTAGCGAATGCCTGTGTAATTAAATATGGTCAGAGCCAGACTGAGGAAACAGCCCTCTTTCTGGAATAATCCCTTATTTTGGCACTATTTGTTTAGGGAATTGTTTCATTAGCGGGAGAGCACTGTGAATCAGGATCCACAAATCGTTCCCAGAAACACAAGGTGACACTGGTGGTGGATCCAGCCTTCCTGCATTCCTGTCATCCCGCAAAAATGCGCGTTTGTCTAATTAGGAAACCAGCGTGGAGCGATTTGGACTAGAGACGATCCTGAGAAATGTGGGAAGGGGTGTCGCCGCCCTGCTGGTAAAAGCCTCTCCCTTCCTCTGTCTCCATCTGATCTGCTATAACATGCCCCTGCTGACAATAAACGCCATCCCAGAGTGACTTTACGCATGACAACCATGACCGGCGTGTTTTATGAGATCAGCAGCACTGTCACACAGAGTCCTGCTCATTACATGCAATCACGCGTATGTCAGCGTGAGCTAATTCATCAGATGGCTCAGTGCCATTAATAATTACCAAGCAGGTAGATTAATAAGTAAGAAAATAGCCTGTCTTCTTAACAGCATGTCATTGGTAATGAGTCACAGGTCGGTTTAGATTGATGAGCAGTATGTTAAATTCCCTGCGTAATGCAGTCTGTCTGTATTATCTGTTGGACATTTGGACTGTAAAAGGCATTGAATGTGGAAGGATGCACTGTTTGTTTTTATGCACTAGAAATGAAATTGCATGTTTTGGTGATATTCAGCCAACCTCAAGCAAACACAGATGTTACCCAGTCTGCTTAATTTTTGACTAATCCCAAATAGTACAAAGAAAAACATTACATCACTGACTACAGCAACACCAAAACCAGACAACACCAGACATTTTCAGGCTCATTATAAGACTGTCTACAAATGGCTATGTACACAGGGAAGGAAATGTCAGGCTCCTGAGTGCCCGGCTGATCACATGATGCATGTCTGAGCCTGCATTCAATTAAAGAGCACTGACATCACACCTCTTAAATTGCCATGTACCCTAAAATTACATGTGCTGGCAGAATGTGGCAGCTGATGTGAGGGAAATGCAGCATGTTCTTGATTCGGGAGGGCGGGGTTTGGAGCTCCCAGTGGCACGTCAGTGTATGCTTTGGGGGGAGACAGGAACTCAGACAGGAAAATGAAAGGAAAGTGCAGGACATCACTTGAAAAAGAGGAGAGGCCATCATTACATAATAGCAGCAGTGATATATTGCAGTTCCCCTGAGAGCCTCAGGGGGGTGGTTTGCTCTCCAATCAGAGACCAGGGATGGAGTCTCATCAGGGCTGCCTGTGAGTGGCACGTGAAGCCACATGGGTGTCCTTTAAGGTGACGCTCGTCACTGTACTAATTAAGGCTCCATCATTAGTCCAGGCCCGGGTCGATATTTACAGCACGGCCATGACAGTGTGAGAGATGGTGGCTTTAAGTCATTGCAACCTTCTGAGCTGGGAATGATTTCCATGGTTTTACTGGGCTTTGGGCTGGCATTCATTTTTATAACTGGAAAGGACACACAGGCAGTTAAAACCGTTCCAGCAACTTCTTCTTGCAGATTCTCTAGCCTCTGGGTTCTGGCAGAGCTATACCTGCATTACCATGTGAGGAACCTCCATTCCCAGTGACAACTATGCAACCGGGTTTAAAAAAAAAAGACCACTTTTCCGCTATTCGTATTCTTAATTTAGTGTTTGGTCCAAGAAAACAGAACTGTTCCAATTTAAAATTCAAACTTGGCTATATTCTGATTATAAAAAATGTTTTAGATAATTAGAAGTAAATAATTTTAATAGACGTGTTTCAAGTGCTGTTCAGCCTGTGAAGGATTGCCTGTCACTGAATCACGCGGCTCGTTCTCACAGATCATGCTGATAAAGATCTAGTTGGCCAAGCTGGCTTATCTCTCAAAGTCCTCAGCGTGTTGGCAGGAAGACGAGAACAGGAGACTTTCTGTGTGAGAGAGAGAGAGAGCCTTAGTGTGAGCTCAGTCATCAGCCACAGATAGTAGCAGGATTAGTGTGAGTTCAGTCATCAGAGACAGATAGTAGAAGGATTAGGGTGAGCTCCATCATCAGGGACAGATAGCGGCAGGCTTAGTATGAACTCATTCATTAGTGACAGACAGTCTGAGGCTTAGTGCGAGCTCAGCCATCAGGCACAGACAGCAGGAAGATTAGTGTGAGCTCAGCCATCAGGCACAGATAGCAGGGGGATTAGTGTGAGTCAGTCATCAGGGACAGACAGTCTGAGGATTAGTGTGAGCTCCATCACCAGGGATAGATAGCAGGAGGCTTAGTATGAACTCATTCATTAGTGACAGACAGTCTGAGGCTTAGTGTGAGCTCAGTCATCAGGCACCATCTGTTAACGTCCACCTCTCCATTTTCCCCGTCTGTCACACAGGGTATGGGCACGCTGCCCCAAGCACAGACGGTGGGAAGGTCTTCTGCATGTTCTATGCGCTCCTGGGAATCCCACTCACCTTGGTCATGTTCCAGAGTCTGGGTGAGCGCATCAACACCTTTGTCAAGTACCTGCTCCACCGCCTGAAGAAGTGCCTTCGTCTGCGGCGGACGGAGGTGTCCATGGCCAACATGGTGACCATCGGCTTCATCTCGTGCATCAGCACGTTGTGTGTGGGGGCCGCCGCCTTCTCCCGCTATGAGGACTGGAGCTTCTTCCACGCCTACTACTACTGCTTCATCACGCTCACCACCATTGGCTTTGGCGACTACGTGGCATTGCAGAAAGACCACGCCCTGCAGACCAACCCCAAATATGTCGCCTTCAGCTTCATCTACATCCTCACAGGCCTCACCGTCATCGGGGCCTTCCTCAACCTAGTGGTGCTGCGCTTCATGACCATGAACGCAGAGGATGAGAAGCGGGACGCCGAGCACCGGGCGCTGCTGTCGCGTTCTGGCCGGGCCGGCCTCCCGTGCTGTGCGCCGGACCCGCCGTCATCCTCGTCGGGCCGTGGCCTCCGCAATGTCTATGCTGAGGTCATGCACTTCCAGTCGATGTGCTCCTGCCTGTGGTACAAGAGCAGGGAGAAGCTGCAGTACTCCATTCCCATGATGATTTCCCGGGACCTATCCACCTCCGATGCCTACATGGGCCAGGGTGAGGCCTTCACCGACCCCCACGCCAACGGCTGTGTCTGCAGCCTACAGCGGCGCTCTGCCATCAGCTCTGTGTCCACTGGCCTGCACAGTCTCTCCACTTACAGGGCACTTATGAAACGACGCAGCTCCATCTAGCTGCCGGAGGACTCACCGCATTTTATCTAGCAAATGGAACCGAAACTCGGATTAGATACAGGCAGAACATTCCTCTTTGGTGTAGTTGTCTTTCACCTGTTTTGGGACATATAGGAATGGATAAGTGAGGAGGAAGCTCTTTAGTAAGTCATGCTACACTTAGTGATTCATACTTTTATGATATGAAATATGCAGGACAGAGATATTTATCAGATGATCCCATCATTAATTAATATCCTAATACTTTGTTTTTATAAAATGAAATTGTGTCTTCGTTTCCCTTGAAGACTAAGGGGACACTTTCGAGTGCAGGAATATTTAAGAAATGTGTATATATTTGTAATTTTCACAATTAACAGAATTATAACTCTATCAGGGGATATTATTTTTGCTGCCAAAGGATTTAAGTCTCACAGTCTCACCTGATGTCCAGCCCATGACAGATCAGTCTCCCCCACTGTGTTTCTCAAAAATACTTTTCCCGTGCACATAAGCTGCTCTAACCTTGCTTTAATGTCTTGCGGCACATGGTACATCGAGTGTATAATGAGTAATTGAGGGTTAATGGCACTTTAGGAAACCATCTTAGATATCAGCACGCTGGTACTCATGGCAGAACCAGCCGAATGAACACTATAGCGTCTGAGTTTGGAATTTAACGGGAATTTCATATCCTTTGAAATGTGAAGACGTGTCGATCGCTGGTAGAGTGGGACAAAAAACAAAGGTGTGGGAACAAGAAGATGGTGCTTGAGGACAGTGTGGGTCTGGACGAGTGATCAAGGGTCCAAAAACATGGTACGGGAATCAGACAGCACTCACTCGTCATGGTCTGTGCGTCTGCTGACGGTCCTACAAACTGGATGATGGATGTCAAAGTCAACATCACTGTGCACATGCACAACAAGATGAGGTGACCGAGTGGGACCAGGCGTCAGACTGTGGCCTCCCTCTGATAAGTGGCTCCCAGAATGCCGAGATTCTATCTGAAACAGCCGCGATTCCAGCAATATCTGGTGGTGGGAACTTGCCTTTTTGTGTGTCCTCTGTCCTCTGATTAAAAGAACAGACCCATATCACTCGAGGAGGATGCATCGCATGTCACTACAAAAGTAACATTCCCTTTTCTGCTGAAACTGGGTGACAGCAAGGTAAACGATTTCCCAAGGCTGTCGACGCAGGTCCGTGCGTCTGTTTGCGGAATGCGCTGCAAAGGACGCCTCCCTGAAGTACATCACTGCCCTCTGCTGCTCAGATGCCCTTTCCCTGTGCCCTTCCCACCGCCGGATCTGCCAGCATCTCGTCGGGGGACTCCCTTGACCTGCACTGAACTTCACCGTCCATGCAGACCAGTGTAAAATGTACTTTTAGAGCTGGTGGGACCTTCTAATGAGGATGTCATTCCCAAACCTGAGACAGTTATTTTTGAGACACATTCCTACAAGACTTAACACAGTTTCCACAGCTGAATTTTTCAGTGGTTAAACTGCTTTTAAAGTCACTGAGGTCATGTGTTAATATGTCAGCTGACACAGCCTAGTGTGGTACAGACTGCTAATGTCCCTATGTATATGTCCATCTGTGCCCAACGATGGTATAGACCACCACTCTAATCGCACATTTGCATGGGGCCCCTTAGGTTTGGGGCCCCTTTGTTAGCCGCAAACAGTCACTACACGGGGTGGTGGACTTCTTGAGTGTGGCCCCAGAAACAGCAAACCCTCCTCTCTGTATGTACAGGATGAGGCCATTGCTGGGCAGAGGTCTATCCATTTTGTGTGGCCTCGGTGCTGGTATCCATTTTCACCCAGGATCTGAACCTCTGTGTTGTGTTTGGTTTACAGTGCTTATTCGTAGACCTTAGGGATGAATTGAGTAAATACTCACTGTGATTTCTCTCCCCTTCCACTCCATTAAGAAGGCATACACCTCTGATGGAGGTTTCTAGAACAAAAGTAGCTTGAATCAGCATACTATGGGCTGTCAGAAAAGGGTGTAATTTCCATTTACAAGAGATTTCATAAATATTTGAAGAGTTTAATGTCTCACTGTCTCAGAATTATTTAACGAAAAGTACTGTTATGCTGGCGTGTGAAATTAAAGAATGATTACCTTGCCACTGATAAGAAATTTTCTGTAATTAAAGAAGTCTAGATATAGAAAGCAGCTGGTAGTTCTCCTCTTATTTATTTTGTTGTGATGTGCTGATTTGGTCACAGTCCACGGAGCAGCTTGAGGTCCGTATGAGGTCCGCCTCCCGGACTGCTGATGCTAACACTCTGGATTATGGGTGAAAATCGCTAAAAGCACATGATAATTTACTGAGCTTGGCTGGAAGATGAACATGAAGAGGCAACAAATCAGCAGACGCTGCCTCGCCATTCGTCCCTGGCTGGTCCTCCAGACGACCCCAGTGTGACTCTCCTCGTCATATCGCAGGGGAACAGGCTACAGACCGTTAAGTCCTCCATAAATAACATTAAACCACTGTGACACAAGAGAGGATGAAGTCACAAGACTCTTATTTCGTAAGTAACCCGTCTGACATTCTGTACCTTGTTTAATTACAGATCTACAGACTGATTCCCACTGATCGTACCTTAGGGCCAGAGCCTTAGTGCTCCGTAACACACACAGCCTCCTACCTCAACATTAATAACATTACATTTATAACCCTATTCCTAACAGCAGTGCACACATGTACATGCATATGTAACACCCACCCTTTACAGCACTGATATATTTTTACTTACTTAGCAGATGCTTTCATCCAGAGCCACATACACACCCCCATCATCTTCCTCTGTCTCAGTCTCCCCCTTTCATCCCCATAACCCTCCCTCGTACCTCTCCCTGGTCCACATCATCCCCTCCATCCCCATCCTTCTCCCTT